GATGAAAGTCATGTACAATGATCAGTCCTCCGCCTCTTTGAGCACCCGTAACACAACGTCCACCACGCCCTAGGCAATGGCAAGACAGCGTGGATCTTCTGGGGGAACAGAGGCATCGAAAGAACCAGAGAATATTCAACAAACACAAACATTTCATTGAGCATTTTTTCTTCAGCAGCAAACAACCCGTTTTGTGAATACCTTAGGGCTTGCACTATGGAAATGCAGCCGCGCCACACTCGTATGAAAGGGTACCAGTAATTCACGTGTGCAGACAAAATGCTATACTTGACGTGGCATCAATGTAGGCCAAGAACGTCGCTTGAAATAGACCTTACAAGGACCCTGCGTAATTACGCTATGCCCAGTGGCCACCGGGTCAAGCCCCATAGAAGTGCAAAAACAATCTGGGTTGCCGTTGTGTCCAAGCTCACACATGTCATTCAACAGCTTAGGTCGACAGAAAGGGGTGCACTGGCACGCGTTTGAACCCTTCATATACACCAATCCGGGACGGCAGGTAATTACCCTACGCTTAACCCGACTTTACTCTTGACCTTGCGTTACTTTGGTAAGACGCCATGGCCACGTCGCGACTGAGGGGTCGCACCGCCAGTGAAAATTGACTTTGGCAGGCCGACCGCATTTCCCCTTTCCCGTTTGGCAAAACATTGCTTCAGAAAATTACAAGTTTGGCTCGCTGTTAACAGGGGTCCGCAACGTTGCGGATGAGAAAGTCAGGGGTAAAGGGATTTCATTTGATAGATGGAGTGCGTGCGAGGGCTGCCACCTTTATGGGAACGTTCTCGAACCATCGAGGGGAAGGATAATATCTGTCTTGTAAGATAAAGGCTGGAACTGTAAGAAACACCTGCTCTTGCCACGACGGGCGAGAGCATGGGAGATTTGGCGTGACCTCCCCATTCCCGTTTGCGCGTTGCGAGGGACCCATCGACAGATCAAGCATTAACACTCGCGCACGCGGTCCTATGGTACACCTCGTCATATCATGGACTCTGCTTCGGGCAAATAGGAAGTTGACAGCCAGCTCCTAGCCTTTTTATACAAAAATGGATATGATGATTGTACATGATGGATATGATGATTGTATGGTTGCATTGCAGGCCGATGATGCGGTACTATGTGTAGCACTCTCATAGAACGCAAAGCACAAGGCAGCATGTGGTGTTCTGGAAGGCGGCGGAGCCATGCTGTTGATATCGCTTGTGTTTGAGAGGAGTACGTACCGCTTGGCTGGCAACGCAGATCACACTGAGCGTGAGTCTCCGCAGCCGCCTCCAACGGAGGGTTTGCTGGTGCGAGTGGCTTCAGCCGCGACGGGCAGCCGAAACGGGAAGACTGGAACCCTCCCCCCCCCTTGTACGGGGCAGGGGACTGAGTGTGTCGCCCTGTAGAAAAAACGGGTGGCAGGCACCAGTCGGGGAACCTCAGGGGACACGCATGTGCGGCCGAAACGGGAAAGAAACATCGATCCAGCGCCGCTGTAAGGCCAAAGCCAAATTTGGGCACGGGTCAAGTGCGCCCACTCAGTGGCACGCCGCGCACGGCCACAAGGACCACATTGCGCAACGTACGGCACCAAAATGACGTGTATTTGCTGCTACCTGTGGCGGCCGGAGCCCGGGTTACTCCAACGCACGTCGCAGATCGAGTGGCCCTGCGGTCGCGGCTTTTGCGACGGGCATTACACACCGGACATTGAACCAGGGCGTTTTAGGCCCAAGGACCCGTTGGGGAGAGTCGAGAACGCTCTGCATTGGACGACGCGGAGAGCACCGACCGCTCGCTGGTGCCCCAAGCAGCCAGCGAGGTCGGAATTCTTATGCTCGGTGCGTGAGTGGGACCAAGGCCAAGCGTGACAAGTATCGGTGAGTTGGCCCATTTCAGTCTCCGATCCCTGGCTGCAAATCCTGATTCACGAGCAACGGAAGGGCCAGGCGCACGCTCACCCCCCTACCCCGCCGCCTTTCGGCGCACCGGCGAGCCCACCTTGCGCGCCAACACGCGCATCGGCACTGGCGATCAGCGTCGGCGAAAGGGGTTGGCGGAGGTGGCAGCAAGGGAGGCGGGCCCGGTTTAAATACACGGCGCCACGGCCGCCTTCACACTGCTGACGGAGGTGACGACAGGCACAGGGAACTTCCGGAGATGACTGTCCCAAGCTCGTCAGGCCCATCAGGCCTCCCAGCTAACCGGGAGAAACGTTTCTCGCGAAACCCAGGTCCCAGGGGATTACGTACCGCCTGGCTGGCCACGCAGAGCACCTCGAGCGCGACTCTCCGTTGCTGCTACTAGGCGAGTGACACCCGGTTCGGGCGGCTGCCTCGGCAACGGGCGGTTGAAATGGGAAGGCTGCCACCCTCCCCACCCCTTTTGCTGGGAGGAGGTTCGAGCTTAAAGTTCTGTCGCCCCGAAGAACACAACGAGCGGCGAGTCAGCGGTCGGAAGCCGTCAGTCGACAAGCCAGTGGCGGCGAAAGCAGGGAGTGAAGATCGATCCCACGCCGCGGGAAGGGCGAAAAGGCCCCGCTCATGTCCGTCCGTCCAGTGGCGGGTCCCGGGACAAGTGGGGACTTGGACTTGGGGATTTGGACCGCACTGCGCAGTGCGCGGGGGCCAAATTTGGCACGCATTGGGATGCAAGGACGCCCCACTGTGGTCGCATAGGATCCCGGCGTGAACAGGCGGGAGCACCGGAGTACGCCAACGCGCGTTGCAGATCGAGTGTCTCCGCAGCCGGGGCCTTGGCCACGGGATTTGCGCACCACACACTGAAGCTGGGCATTGACTTGGACACTGAAGGCCCAAGGCCCTGTTGGGGGTAGAAGAGCACGGTCCGCCCAGCCGCGACGCCGGGCTGACCGACCGCTGGGCGGCGACCCAAGCAGCCAACAAGCGCGAGCTCTTTGCTTGCGGCGCCGGCAAAAGCGAGCGGAAAGGGTGACGGCCGTCGCTGAAGTGGCCCGTGTCAGCCTCCGATCCCTGGCCCCCAACCCTCCTGAATGCCCCAGCTCTCCCACAACGGACAGTTGAGATCACGCCCAGCTCCAACGCCTCCGCGGTCTCCGCGCAAGCCACAGTCCGGCGCCAGGCGCACACTCCAACCCCGGCCCCGCCACCCTTAGGCACAGGCGACCCACCCTGCGCTGGAACACGCGCGTTGGCGCTGGCGGCGTGCGTCGACGCGGACGAGAGGGGTGGAGGTGTTGGCGGGGCCGGGCGCCTCCGGTTTAGATACGCGGCGCAGTGGGCAACTGTAAACTTTCGATGGGCGAACCTGAACCCATGCTCACGCTGGTGACCGCCCGCGGCACTTGCCTAGATGACTGTACCCCAACCACCTTCGCGCGTGCGCGCCTCCAATTGGGAGGCGCAGCGCAGCTCCAAATGACAGGCACGGGCTCGTTGTGGCCGCGTGGAAGGCATACTATCCCGCCTTGCGCCCCGCCCAGTCCGATGGCGGGCGCCCGGCCGAACGGTCAGTTCGCGGCCAAGGTCCAGCGCCACGCCTCCCAGATCCTCACCTACGGCGACGAGCTCCTGCAGGCCCAGGCGCTGAGTCTCATTCCCGTCGACCGCCTGCGATCGGAGGCCGACGCCGCCGTGGCAGCGGCCGGCGAGGATCAGGCGCAGCCGATCGACCCCCAGGCGGCCCTCGTGCGGGCTTTGCTGGATTGGTTCAAGGGGGAGTTTTTTGAATGGGTGAACAGCCCGCCGTGCTGGAACTGCGGCCAAGGGGAGGCCTCGCGGGTGGCCGTGGAGGCGCCCAGCGAAGCCGAGGCGCGGCACGACGCCAGCCGGACGGAGGTGTACACGTGCCTGAAGTGCGGCGCGGGGATACGGTTCCCCAGGTGCGGCGGGAAGCGGGTCGAAAGTCTCTTGACAAAAAGGAATCGTGCTTTGGGTGAAGATTGACCAGAAGTGGGTTGGGGACGGCTTTTGAGGGGGTTGCCTCATGGTCGTTGTTGGTCGGGATGGCCTTAATCCTTGAGTGGGTTGCTTCATGTTCGTTTTTCGCCATTTTTAGCGTTCCGTTGAGAAGGCCAACCCAAGGTGAGGAAGCCCGGGCAGGCCCAACGCCGTGGTGGGTGTCCAGTCGCCTCTCTCACGTCATGATGGGACTGCTTGGGAGCCAGGTGATTGACGGCGAAAGCTTGTTGTGGGCCTATGCCGTTTCGCGCGGTCGCCCGACCTCTGGGCGCCGATCGCTTGCGCCCACTGGGCCCATCGCCGCCTCCGACAAGCATGGATCCTGCCCTCCCTGCACCGCTTAGAAGGCTGCGTGGGCACAGGCACTGGGGCTGCCCGGTGCCTCAGTTACCCAAATGGAAAATGGCCTGAAAGCACGCTCTGGGAGAGGGCTAATTCAACAGATCACCGCTGTAAACCTTTAGAATTGCCATCATCAAGCCGAAGTGATTCCCTTGTAGGCGATGACAGACATTGCAGTTTGAACGAAAGGGAAACACTGGGCAGCACCCTCACGGTCGAAATGTCTGGGAAATTCTTTATGTTTTTGTGTTCTCTATTTGTTGTCACCATGCACCAGCAGATGATGCCACATGTCTCAAAGTGCAAATCACAAAGGATTGCATGCAACATAGTGTCAGCACGGGAACAGCATGGCCCTTCCAACCTTCACCACCCCCCTTTTGCCCAGCAGGTACAACGACCCCGCCAAGCTGCTTGAGACGCGCCGCGGCCGTTGCGGTGAGTGGGCCAACGTCTTCACCCTTTTCTGCATCGCCCTGGGCCTCGATACTCGCCTGGTGGTGGACTGGACAGACCATGTGTGGAATGAGTACTACTCCCAGGCAAAGGGCCGTTGGGTCCACATGGACTCCTGTGAGGCGGCAGCCGACCAGCCGCTGCTGTACGAGAGTGGCTGGGGCAAAAAACTGACCTATGCTGTGGCCTTTCACCGGCTGGGGGTGACAGATGTCACACGGAGGTACACGCGGCAGTGGCCGGCTGTTTTGGCACGGCGGGTTGAAGCGGATGAAGACTGGCTGGTGAGGCACCTTAGAGAGGTGACAGGGGGAATGCGGATGGGGCTTGGTTCAGCAGATGCAGATGAGATGGCGGAGCGGGACATGTTTGAGGACGCTGAGCTGGAGACGGCGTGTGGGGAGGGGGCGGGGCGCGAGGCGGAGTCCTTGCCTGGTAGGACCACAGGATCGGTGGAATGGAGGCGGGCGCGGGGGGAGTTGGGGAGGGAGGAGGGACGTGATGTGGACGCTGGGGGCGTGGGGGGAGGGACGGGCGGGGCAGAGGCTGGTGGGATTGATGGCAAGGACGCTGCGGGCGTTGAGGGCTCGGAAGGTGCGGGAGTAGATGGTGAGTAGAGAAGAAACATCGGGAGGTACTAGGTGCCAGAGGGGAAGAGAGGATGCGCCAAGCAGGACTTGGCAGGAGTGGTATCAGGCATGCTAAGGGGAGACTAGCTGTTAGTTGGTAAGGATGCGCCGCAGCACAACAGGCATCCCCACTCCCAGGGGCGAGCTGGGTGGACAGGCTGGGTGCTGGGTGGAGAAGTCAATGGAGGCGCCCGGATCGCAAGGTTGCCGATGGCATTTGAAGAAGGCGACTAAACCCTCGTTGATGTACTGGGATGTTGTACATTGTGCTTCTGACAGAAATGGAATGTGTATTATAATGGGCCTTCCCTCCAGGGAATTGTTTTGGATGACTCTCTAGTGCATATTGTGGAAGATAGTGCATAAGTCTAGGAATGCGACAGGATAAGCATGCAGCACAGATTGGCATGTAGAGTGAAAAATTTGTTCCGGATGGAGGCCCAGCTGGTGGTTGGACGCTGCTCTTTTGGAAGCCTATTCGGAGCTGTCCATGGTGCTGCAAACATGATTGTCGTGAGGTCCGACATGCTGTGCTGGCAACACGGTTTTTTGCTGCATATTTCTTAGATTATGCTTCCTTTCGCTGGCATTGGTTTTGGCAACGCGAGGCCATGCTTGTACATGAGCCCATGCTTTTTTTGGCTGATCGACATTAGCTGCGAGGGGGTGGATCCACAGGCCTGGCACACCACATTTGTGCCAAACCGAGATTTGGAGTCGAAATTTGCCGATGTGGAGCTTGCCGTTCCTCATGAGTAGATCTGCATGGTCCACAGCAATTTTATCAACCCAAGGAGAACCAGCATTTGTCAAGATGAACGCCACCTTCTGAGTTCTGAACTCCATTAAGCATACACACGCGTCCACACACATAGATCCGTTGTTATCTCGTTGCTATCTCGTTATTATCTCTGTAAGGCACATGGCCTTACTGTTACAATGTTCGGATTTCCATCAAACATTGAAACTACATTAAACCGACGCATTCAGGAGTTGTCCTACGCCTAAACATTGCTGGAGGGCATAAGCACACAAGTATTAGTGGACCCTGGCCTTTGTATGTAGTGCACAATGTTATGTTGCACATAAACTTGCCAATTGGCATCCACAAGTGGAAAGGTTGCCAATTGCAACCTGCAAAGATTGCAGCTTGCAATGCTTGAAATTTTGAAAGACTGCAACAGGAACAACAGGCGCGACACCACTGACAGCCAGTCTTCTCCGTATTATTAAACCACGCACATAGATGCAGGCACGCCAAAGAACGGATACATTCCTATACAGTTCCCCACCCCACAAGCGCGCCCATACCTGTTCTTCCAAATAATTTGGCTCACGATCACCATGCGCGCTCCCCGCTGGGCAGGCCACCAGCCGCCATGGTAATACCTGGTTCAACGTTCAGAGTGTGGTTGAGAACGTTATGAATGCAATATCCCAGATATTGCGCTTTTTTCTGATGCTCCGGGCTCTGCAAATGCACACGATGCTGGCCACAGGTTGGCACTGGAGTCTGTGAGCCTGGCCCCTAGGATGGCCTGGGGCATGTAGCTGGCCCGGGCCCGTGGGTGGCTCTTGGATCCTTCACTTGCATCCACCACCCACGTGGGCGGACCGGGCCCTCGGCCTGTGGCCGAATATCCCTATCCAATCTGCATCGCCCCTCAAGGGGCTCCAGCGCCCCTTCACGCACGAATCCAACTCTATGGCCGCCACACTTGGCCGATTCCCCTAAGGAAAGCAAATCTAATTCTTTGTGTTGCTCTCGGAGGTGTGTGTGTCCCCACCCTAGTCTTACGGGCCCTACCTACCACCTGATTCCCTGCCCGATCAAGGGGAGACCCATCTCTGTCCACCTCGTCGGACACACCTCATCAAGCTGGCTGACCCAGGCCTCGTTTTTTTTGTTTTTTTTAGCCCCCCATTGTACCCTGCATCTCGGCCTCTCTACCCGTCCATCCAGGTGCGGGGTTGCTCCAGCATCCCTCTCACTTTTTCACGGGCCGGCCAGCTCTAATCGCAAAAGCCCCGAGCCACATCGCGCACCACGCGAGCTGTTGCCTCGATGGGCGGCCGGCCTCCCCTTCTCGAAGAATGATGTCGCTCTTTAAGGGATTGAGGTGCGCCAGCTGCTCTTTGAGGCCGGCCGCCACCATGGGGCAGAGGCCTCAACCGCCGCGCCGAACGCAGATGTTTGGTAGCAGCTGCGAAGGCATCCCCAAATTGTTGTATGATTGGCTCAACCTCCTGCACACGTTGTTTTCCTTTCCGGGAGAAGGGAGGACTAAATGCATTTCAAAACCTTTTGGATGCATGGATCCGTTTTGTCACACGGTGGATTGATGCTCATGGTCAAATTGTTGTATGCCTGGTAATTGTAAAATTCATCCCAATGGCTGCGCTGGCTGGTTCAGCGCCGTTAATTCAACAGTTATTGCTCACATCTCCAGCTCCATCAAAAATATAAAAGAAATAGAAACAACGAGACAAAAAGCTGAGAAACGTTGAGGGAGCAGAACTTAACTGAGCCTAGATTATTGTTAATTTGCCAATGACAAATGTATGTTTTGACATGTTCGCCTGAGGCTTCCGTGCCCTACGCTGTCCTTGCAGCTCTGGGCCGGAGCGCTCCAGCGCTTTTATTTCTTTCTTTGCAATCTTGGATCACCGATATGGCTTTGCACTTTGATGGTAGAATATCGTAACAGCGGATTGTGGATTTTAGAGTGTGCTAATTGTATTTAAATAACTTTGTCTCCCGTGAACAGTTCCTGGGCCACATCAGCAGATGGTATTGGTTACAATTGAATGGAGGTATCGATGTCAGATTTTGGGCAAGAATAGTGTGTTGACACTTTAAGCACTAGATATAGTGCACAGCATCGGCAACCCTTCTAGTAGGGGTGCCGATACTGTGCAAACGCAACAACCTGACTGCGGAAGTTATGGATCTATGTATATGGATTTAAAAGGTCTTTAATGTGATGTGTAAAGAAAACAACAACAAGAAGATTCGTGTTGAGGTGGCTCATTGCTGCTGGCTTTAAAGTCTCCCATGAAATGGCTTCAGTATAGTCATTTCTGGCGCGTTGGCCAGCCGTACATTGGGCATTTTGCATTAAGATGGACGGGTTTTGTGCGTCGGGGCCGGTTGGATGACAGACCTGTGGTCGTCTGATGATGTCCCGAGTTGCTAGCAGCGATTCCGCAAGTTTTTGGCTTTTGTCATGTTTGGAACGAGACCTGTGAATGGATGCGTTTATCAAGGCGGCAACAGTTTGGCTACCTGAAGAACGCCAGCTCTGTTCGGGGACCTTCTTCGTCCGACCGTGTAAGGCCAATTGCTTCCTGAGTCAGGAACCCTGACTTTGTGGAACCACGGACATAGATGTGACTTTGACCACAACGTCCATCCCGCTTGTTGTGCTTCGACTTTGTTTGGTTGAACGACACGAGGCACCCCAATCTGTGTTGCATGCCTGTGAGAGTTGGAAAGGGAAGGCGTTTGCCTGATCATTTTCAAAAGAAAAGCCTTGATTATGAGACGAGACTCGGACCTGTTGCTTGCCAGGCTCGAGGCAAAATTTATACTTGCAGTGCGACGTTTTGTCTTTTGTATCACCATCTTTGGATCTAGAACACTTCTCGCGTTCTCTAAAATCTGGTACGTTTGTTTTATGAAAGCGCGCTACATCGGTGCGATTGTGCAAGGCGCATCTATGGCTATCGGATATACACATTGACATGGTCCTGGAGCGAATACTCAGTGCTGTATGCACTTGTGGCACGGGTGGTGACAGACTCAGTGAATGTCATGCCTGATTTCAACAGACGTATCTTCACTTAGTTGCAAAATGACAGACATCATGAGAAATTCTCTGAAACTGCACTTTTCGTGGTGCATTTTACATAATTTCTTGAACCCCATTCATTCCCGCGGATTAGCGTATGGAGGCTTGCTGAAGCCGTCTCGCTGACCTGCAACCAGCTGGTCGTGACTACAGTTGCAGCAATTGAGAGGCTGGGCTTTTGTGAGCATGGGAGGAGTTATATCCCCATAGCGAGGAAGGAACACTCATTCTTCTAAATCATGGATGATATGGTTTTGTAAAAACAAATTTTTCTCAAGTACAATTTATATTCACGGATGTGGTTACATTCGCATATTTTCATGTGTGAACAAACGGGGCTACAGTAGAGCGATGAATATCTTATATGCCAATGGACTTCGTAATTGGCATGAAGATGCAGCTACGTGTAGCACGTTGCTGTGAGTACATGGTAGCCCCAATCTAAAGCCACTTTTTCCAACTTGATTAACTTTGCTCGTTCAGAGCCAACTCCCCACCAAGCTTTTGTAAACCAAACTCAAGCAATTTAACTTAGACCTACACTTGAATTCAACAATAAACAATAACACTAGTTTGGATGAAAGATTTTCTGAATGTTAAAACTTGACCAAATTATAGCCACCGACATCTCACTTCAGCAATCTTCTGCATTTACCAACATTGAGGTCATTCATTTTTCAATTATTATGTAACAGGCGTCTTCAATTGTTTCCAAATACGCGCATATTAACATGTACGTAATGTAAGAAGACCTCATTTGACATACCTGTGGAAGATTCAATAGGGAACTGGCGAAGCCCATAACACAAGACGCAGTCAAACTGTTGCAAAATATTGGAATAAAACAGGGAGACTTGCGCATGAGCTCTGGGGATAGAATTTTGAGTTTGAATGCAGAAAAGGGACGAACGATAACTAAACTGAAATTTAGCACTGACATCTCAACATAACTCATGGCCAGCGAGCGAAATCCTCTTGAAACAGGAGTGTGATTCGCTGGGGAAAAAAGGGCCAAATGGCGCTTGTTCGAATAAATACAAAGTTTACGGGTTTGGGTTACTTTTTTATTTTTAGCATGCACAACGCTAATGAAATGCATGCATATGTGTTCGCAAAAAGTGTTATATGTTCCTTGTTTTGCTAAGGACTTGCGCAGGTTTTGTCACGCGTGCTACATCCCCAAAACTTCGTGTGCATGTGCACATCGCACAAGACACAACACCTGCGTGATATCCACATTCTGTACGGTTTGAAATTCAATATATAATACTTATCCTAAGAACTTTCTGCAGTTATTCCTATTTGGCCCACTGTTGCCCTACATATAAGTCAGTCCGATCAGCCCTTACATACAAACGCGCCACGGTCATCAACACTCATGCATTCAGACTTACTCCAGCCTGCGCATAACCAGCAGCACGGACGTTTGCCGCCCCCCGTGGCAACCGGCGCATGGAATTGCGCCCATAAAAATGCGCAGTCATACACGAAAATGAATTCAATGGCACACCATGCGTTATCTTTCCGAAAGACAAATATTTGCACCTTATGATGTGCAATAAAATTCCAGAAGTCGCAGGCCCCTGCTCTGTGAGGATGATTTCGGTGTGTTCACCCAAGAAATGTATTCCTGACCGAGTTTCAACGCGTTGATTCTTGGGAAGCTGCCATGCCCCTGTGAGACACTCTCCGAATCGGAAAATGGTCCATCCAGCTCGCTTGGCCGAAAAGAGCGTCCTAACCAGGATCGCTTCGAGGATCGCGAGATTGAAGTCGGCACATCAACTGCAAGATGCGCTCTCCATCCAAAACGCATGAACAGAAGATTTGTGCCTTCTTGCACTTTCCAATTCCTTCCACAAGGAGCGCCGCATATGGGAACCACTTGTCTTGGGTGCAAATAAGCCGGAATTGACGTGGAGGATACTTTGCGTTGTGGCACAGATCAGGCGGATGGCCTATGCCCAAACGGACTGCAGTCGCCAGAGGCGACAGTGCGCCGAGAGATGCGTTCGAACAGGGAAACGACCAGGACGCAAAAATGCAGTAGTATGGACCTGAAACGGCGACATTGCCCAACCCGCGTGGCGATGGCGCCAGTGCAGAATCGGGAGTGAGATGTTTTGGATCACTCATTATCCAATCACATGCCTCGATTGCAATACCAAAGACTGATCAGAGTCTCTTTTGGACTTCGCGTTGTGTGTGCGTGTGTGTGTGAACATGGTGTAGACAATCGTTTGCCAAACGAAGTCCCCCACGTTATCTGCATACATGGAGTAGGGGGCTCATCCCTATTGCAATATCTTGGGCAGCAAGTGGACAATAGAATGCGGCGGATAATGTAGTTCTTTAACTAGCAATGCAATGACAGTATCTTGTTGATGGTAGTGGAGAACACTGGGGCTTTTCAGTCTGAGCTGCTGTGAAGCATATGACGCACTACGGCACAGCCCATTGGATGGATTTGTCTATATGTTACCACGCACATCTGCCGGCAGGTATTGCATGAGGTTGTGTGATGAGAGAGCATCCAATTTCATGAAGCCCTGTTGTACCATGTTGCACCATGGGACCATGCCCTGCAAGCGCCATCAAAATTGCTCTTGATAGCCTTTTTACCTCCACGGGCGCCTGAGTGACATTAGAGGACTCTCGAAGAGTCCTTCCGAGACAACGTGGAATATGTGCTTGTGGCTAGCTGTGGAATACCCCAATTCAAAATGGGGATTGCAGCCTTACGTCCAGCCAACATCAGTCGTCTCGCGGAAGCGCCAATGCCGAGCAGCACACAAGCAGAACGAGTTCATTCCAGTTGACGGCGGCACCTACAACATTGTTACGTGCATGTCCTCAGCTGAGGACACTGTTCTCGAGGCTTGTTGCAAGCTTGTGCATGCAAAGCTCTTGATTGTGTGAACATCCTCCGTCGCCTACAAGGCAAAAGGGCACCGCTGCACATTTGCAGTCAATTTAAACAAAGGATTTCAGCCAATCAACACTAAGAACAACAAGGTCAAACAACACGTGTTCAAACGTGTACAAAGTTTACGGGTTTGCGTTGCTTTTATGTTCTTAGCGTGCAGAACTTAGATGAAATGTGTTTTATGTGTGCTCGCAAAAGTGTCATTTGGCCCTTTTTTGCCTAGTGCAAAGAGTCCGCACCGCGAAACAATATTGTTTGGCGCTGCGGGCTCTCTAATGAATTGTGTAATCTGTTCTACTGCTATGCACCGAGCACTGAGAATCCCCTGCATGATACAAATACCGCTGCGCGGTCGCGCCCATATTGGCGTCCGCCAACACCTCATTGATAAGTAGAGGACCCTCGGATATCTGATTGTTGAGCAGTTTACTGGCTTTCCTTGTGCGCCCACGACACAGTTGGCGCGGAATTTTCATCAGCATGAAAAATGTGCGGTGCAATGTGCATGTACTCCAAATCTTCAGACAGGAGTCAATAAGGAGGGACCGTCATTCACCCTTTTCAGCGTAATAACCAAGGTGCAAGGCCTAGTTTGTCTCGCCTGTTGAATTCAGTGCCCCGGGGGCCGAAAGGCCGCCAAGGGTGAGAACAGGACCTTTATTAGCCACATTGCCGGTATTGGGCATTGCTTGAACTGCAACGTGCACGCAAGATTCCAAAGTGAGATTTCAAAGTGTGGACATGACATGAATTGTCGCGTGGAACATATCGGCGACCTGTTTGTGGCCACGTTCCCAAACCGTGCAAGTTTTGGATCCATTCCTAACTCTGCGAATGATCACACAGCTTTGCAAGCCGACCATACACTTTCCGTTGAGCGCTAAATGCGTCTAGAGCATTCGCATAAATTCATCATGCAGCTTCGCCGTGTGGGTGGGGTGCAAATCTGCACTCCACTCACACAGCGAAGCTGCATGATGTACTAAAGATGGTAAGGGAAAGCAAACGAGGAGTCACTGAGTGGCCTTGCAACACATATGGGAAGGACAATTTCTATCTTTTCTTTTTGTTGGGGTGGGGTGGGGCGGGGGCGCAGGCCTTGATATCTCGAAAAGGCTGCTTTGAGGGATCGCGCTGAGAATCCGCCATCTTGGCGCCATGTGTCGATTGCCGCGAAACTTTGGTTGTGTGATATTGACACCAGCTTGTTCTCAACGACATTGACGAATGCTGGTTCGCGCGACCCCGCGCAAGAGGGCATAAAATTACTGGCTGCACCAAATCGGTGACTTTTTGCACCAAGTCACGTGCACATCATGTCCAACTCCGTCCAAACTAACCTATCCTAAACCCTAAACCCTAAACCCTAAACCTGAACCTGTCCTAACCCTAACCCTAACCCTAAAACTCACCCTGAAACTAAACCTAACCCTAAAATTGAGGTTAGGACAAAGTGTCACGTGACTTGGTGCAAGCAGTCACCGATTTGGTGCAGGCAGTAATATTATTTCGCGCAAGAGGGTGGCGGCACGCGGAATGGCGAGGGCATTGGTGCGGCACCCCCAGCGCTTCGCTGCACCTCGCTCGCCCAATCGGCCACCTCAAAGCGACGCCTACCCGCCCGAACGTCGCGTCGCACGTCGATCTCCTTGCCTGGCGAACGGGCCCTTCTGCCCCACCATGGGCCCCCCCTCGAGCGCCTCCGCCGGCCCATGCAATCGCCATGGCCGCGCCCCCGCCCGCCCCGCTCGCCCTGGTCGTGATCGGCGCCACGCCCGCCGCCCTTCACCTCCTCTCCCGCCTCCCCGATCGCATCCTGCGCCGCTCGGCGGTGATCGACCGGCGGGGCGCCTGGCTGGCGGGCTGGGCCGATCGCTGCGGCCGGCTGGACGCGGATGCGATCAGATGCGCCGTGACCCAGTGTCCGGGCAGGGAGCCGGGCGCGCTGGCGGCCTACGCCGATCGGCAGGGCCGCAATGCGGAGATCTCATCGCGGAGCCCGGGCTGGCGGCTGATGCGGGATTTTTGCGACGAAGTGGTGCTGGCGGCGCTGCCACAGGAAGTGCGGAACGTGGTGAGGGATGAAGTGGTGGGGTTGGGGATTTCCCGTTCGCAGATTGGCGAGGGGGAGGGCCGAGATCTGTGCGAGCTGGAGCTGGAGGGGGGAGGGCGGGTGCCGGCGCTGCGCGTGGTGGTGTGCGTGGACCCCTCTGAACCGATCCGGCCGGCTTGGGTCCCGGGATCGGGGGTCGAAAGGGCGGATGGCATCGCGCTGGGTGGGGAGGTGGATTTGAGGGGAGCGGATCTGAGCGGGGTCTCGGTGGCTATTGTGGGCGGGGGGATGGCCAGCGTGGTGCTCGCGGAGGGCGCCGCCCGCCGCGGGGCGCGGGAGGTGACCCTGATCTGCCGGGGCGCGATCAGGCGGCAGGATTTTGAGGCATCGCGGGGGTGGTGCGGCGCGCGACGCCTGAGGGCCTTCCTGGCGCTGCCGCCCGCGAAGAGGTTCAGGGCGGCGATGGCCGCCCGGGGTTCGGCGTCGATCCCACCGCAGTGCCACGCACGGCTGAGGAAGCTGATCTCTGGCGGAGGATGCAGGCTGCTGGAGCGGCACGAAGTGGCGGCCGCTCGATGCATAGGGGGCCAATGGCGGTTGATGGTGATTGATGCATCCGCCGATCGGCGCGTCGACATCGAGGTGGTGGCGGAGAAGGTGTGGACGTGCTGCGGGAGCGCCGTCAACGTCGGCAGGCACGGGTTGCTTGCCAAGCTGCAGGTGCGCTGCCCCACGGCCTTGGTGGGTGGCTACCCGGTGCTGGACGACGCCAGCCTGTGCTGGCCGGGCCTGCCGCTGCACGTCCTGGGCCCCGGGGCCCTGCTGGCCCTTGGCCCGCTGGCAGGGTCGCCCGCGGGCTGGCGGCTGGCGGTTGACCGGGTGGCCGGAGCGATGCTGACGTCAGCCTCAGGCGGCGTGACGCCATGGGAGCGGATACGGCAAAAGATCGAGCAGGGGGCCCAGAATGAGGCAGCGGATACGGTTGTGGATACGGCTATGGATACGGTCCAGGGCGATCGAAAAAGGTGGGAAAAGTCGGATAATGATCGCCAGCGGAGGGAAAGGGGGCATTCTGCAGATGAATTTCTGGCCAGTTTTGGCGAAGAGATTTTGGCCAGACGCGAGGCGGCACGCTACGCCTGGCGGGACGTTGGCTTCCATGTCAGGATCGACGTGCCTCTGGAGGGTGAGGTGGCGGATGGCAGCGTGGGGGTGTTCTTCTCGGATTCGTCCGTGGAGGCGTGGGCGGTGGCGAGCGAGGGGGGCGCGACGCGGTTCCACATACCGAGGCTGTACAGGAGGGTGGTGGTCGATCAGTGCGGGTATCGATTGGATGCGTCAAGGGGGCGGCTGCGCATCCGGCTGCAGAAGACATCGGACAGCCCCTGGCACTTCCTCAAAGGCTGAACGCTGGCCTCGACAAGCGGGGGAGGATTTTCTGCTGCATTTTCTACAGCGTTTCTTGTGATGGATCGAAGGGTGCCAAGGTCAAACAAGGAAGTTGAATGTGCACCCGACCTCTCCTCCCCACCGCGCACTCTTTGAGACTCGTCCCGCAGTGTGGGAGACCGCGCTGAAGTCGTCGGATGCAACAGCGGTGCTGTACAAGCGGAGCGGCGCAAGCGGCAGGACAGCATAGGCCCTCGGGGGTGATCGGCCTCATCAGTCCACCAGACGTGCGAGATGTCTTGTTTTGCGTGCGTCAGGATGCAATTTAGAATTCTCGGAAAATCGATCATACAATGGAGCCCCCCACCCCACCCTAAGCAAGCAAGCGTCCTGCGGGCCCAGTTCCGCTTTGCATTGCTGTAGGGTACAGATCGCAGGTCTGGCGACAAGAAGGTTGGGCTGAGCACCGTTTCCAGCTGCCTGTGATTCACGGGCTTTGCACGTTGCGCACACAGAGAACCCCACATATGTGTGCGTTTCATCAGTGTTCTGCACAATAAAAACCCGAAATTAACACAAACCCATAAACTTTGTACACAATTGAACACGTGTTATTTGACCCTTTTTTTGGTGTACGGTGCATTGACGAGCGCCACGAAATGCATATTCCATATGATATTGACCTTTGCCCAAGCCTGCTTAATTTGCTGACATTCTCGATTGGACGTGTGTCTCCCAGGTCCAAATCGTGCGTTGTCAAATACTTCACGCATGAGTGTGCGGCAAACCGCGATTTGGTCCTGGAATGCGTACTCTTGCGTTGTTTGGGGGTTTTTTCAGTGACAACTTGTCATTAATATCAACGCGCTCGTGGGCGGCGTCATGACTGGAACCCACAAGACATTGCCCAGTATATGCTTGGCAGCATGAATGCATTCGCAGCTGCGGCGACACCTGCAGATCGCGTTACACACTTCAGGCGTCTCCCACCGCCAGTAACCCTCCCCGCGTATAATGATAGACCTTGAAGCACGACCCACGATCACCGCTGGATTCCTTGGTTCATATTCACCGACAATCGAGACAACGTTGCACATGAAAGGTGATGGCCGCCGGCCAAATTTGCCCACATCGCACTTGTAAACTGTGCATTTGCCGACCGTGCTTCATTCCATTGTATCGAATCTTGGAAATAGAGAAAATAGTGCTTAGCTGTGATTATATAACCGTGCTGTCAGTTGGTGCAATTCATGCACGAGCAGTGAAAGCCGTTCCAACAATAACAAATCGGAAATCTTGGGCTTGTCTTTGGTGCGACTGATTCTTGGTGCACTGCGGGCAACGGCCGCAGTGCATTGTACCCGTCGATGGGCCAAGGATGAAGCCTTCCTCATGAAGACAATTACGATGATAAAGCTAATTGTTTGGATCAAAATATTCTTGTTACCCAGACGGAGAGATGTGCAGTGGCGTGCCCCAGCGGCCAAGGCCCCAGCTGCGGGAAGTTTTGTGAGCGACCGACTTAGGCTTACCAAGCATACATGCGTTTTGGGCCTCAAAGGCCAGGAAGGTGTACGGAGTCTTGGACAACGAGAAGGGTTTTCATCCCTACACATGGATGATGTACATCCCTACATCCCTATCGGTGTGTGTGATTGAGGCACGGCAATGTTGTTGTTGTGCGAGTCGGCGATCCCAATGTTTGCATGGCGATTTCAATATTGGACACCGTGATGCGCTCAGAAATTGTTTTTTTGAGCTGGTTCACAGCAAGTTTGATGTAACATCACTGTTTGTTATGCTGGGATGTAGGTGGTCAGTTTTTAATAGGAATATTGTTGAAACAGTTGGAAGGGAGTCGTCGTTTAGAAGGAGGGGAGTTCGAAGGGAGGGATGACATCCAGACATTTGCGCTGTGTTGAAAGCCCTTCATGGTGATCGCCATCTTGGCTGATAGATCACCGGCTTGAAGTAATGTTCTCACAGAAATACACTTACACGTTGAGTGTCCACAACCCCCTCATATTACAACCATCACCAGAACTCGCTGTTCATCTTCAATGACACTGTCATTCACGTCGATCGGCCTTTTCCAGTATGAAATAATCCGATTCTGAGCAGTATTGGAAGTGCTGGACAATCATCTCACTTCAATGCAGGTGATTTCTTGAGAGACGATTCACAGCCGTTCTTTCCTGTCAAATAGGTCTTACACTGCTTCCAAACATTCAACAACAGCACACCACACAAAGATTCAACCGCTCAACCCCACACAATAGCTATTCCCAACTTCACCGTTCGCAATGATGGACACCAATCTCAATTCAACCCTCCAGCCAGCGGTTCCCCAATCGACACAACGCTCAGCCGCGCCGTCCGATGTCAACGGTCGATTGCGCCCTGGCAGTGGCTCCCCAGCACTCCCTCGCTCCTTGGGTAGCTGCTTGTTCAGGGCGCTTCGCAGCGCTGGCCTTGGTGCTCTACAAACTGGCCATCCGCCAGCCCTTTCATCCCCCAGCCGCCTTGTCATGACACCATCGCTGTTTGCCATCGCCTCCTCGACCTCAAACTGTGAACTTCACACCTCAGGAGCTTCAATTCACAGTGCACAGCCCTTGTTCAAGCAGCCTGGCTGTTTCCCTTTCCAAGTACCTTCATTTTTCGCACTTAAACTCACTTTACATTCACATTACATCAAGACACACCACTTCCCCTCTAACACCGATTCACAGCGCACTTACCCTCTTCCAGCGGCTTCCAGCCATGAGCACATACTTCTATTCATGCCTATCGCTGCTTACCCTATGCAGCCGCAGCCCCTAACCAGCTGCTTCTTTATTAAACTACCTAAATTGTTCATCACCTATTCCGCCGGTGGGCGTCTGATGCCTCCGGCGGGTGGGGCCATCCCCCCACCGCCTCCGCCCGCACGTCGGTCTCACACAAAGTCAATCCCCCCAGCCTCAAACCAACGCCAGCCACTTCGCGCTGCTCGGCCGACCCCGTCGCTTCACTACCCGCCTTCCTCGGGGACGATTCACCACCAAACATTCCCGCTTCCGACCAATTCTGGGTGAACGGCGACGCTCGCCCATCGCCGCTCGGACCCAACACCAAGCGCGTCCCCTCCAGTCCGCTCCCTTCCAGCCGTCGCAGAATCGTGTACAGCTTGCCTTCCACGCTGCGCAGCCGCTCCGCGTTTTCCTCCATCGTTCGCGCAAGCATATCCATCCCAACCGGCCTGCCCGTCCGCTCAGTGGGATCACTCGATCCCGTTTCACCGGTCTGCAACCAATCGGCTTCGGGAACTCGCCCATCCCACCCCTCCTCTGGGCCATAGCTGGGGTCCGGGTCGCACAGCTCCGCACTTCCTTGCGAACTCACAGTCGCTGGTCGCCTCCACCCGGGGAGGTCACGCGTGCAGGAGGGCAGCAGCTTGCGGATAGCTGACCCTCCGTCGGATGTAATGGCTCATTATCCGTGTAAATTGAACGCGTTTAACGGTTTTCATTTGACACTACCCGGCTGCCACTGAATAGCATCCCACTGGTTCAGTTTTCTGGCGCATTGCTGTTGATGGAGGATCAATGATTAAGCAGCACTTCTCCCAGCCAGTTTCAAGGCCAATAACATGTTCCCTTTGCTTTAAGTTCGTTCTTTCTTTAATTGTCCTTTTCCCGGGAACTTTAACAGCTGGCTGCTACTGGCGAACCCCATGTCCATGGGTTTGAGTCGCTGACCACCGCGTTGTTACAACATTGACAGCCCATTGCATCAACACGCTCTACAGACACGAACTCTGAAGGTTTGCGTTGATACAAGGGCCTATCAATGGTGCATCAAAGCATGCCAAATTTCTGACTGTATCTCCGGGCCGATAAATGGATCGTTGAAACAGCATTGCTGGAAAACTGCTTTTTAGGGAATGCTGGATCAGGATGCCTTGTTGGAGGGTTGATAAACGCCGACGCCAGGAGCCATTGTCTCAAGCGTAGTCCACCAATATTGAGGGCCATTTTTTCAATGACCCCCTTGCTTCAACCCTCATCAACATTGCATCAACGCCTGCCGAATTTCCAGATGACACCCAGGGATTGCTTTTGGCGCAAAAACCCCCTGCAGCAATACTCCGCGACGAGGATCGCGCAGCACAACTGGGCTCGAGCCTACACTGCGAGTCCAAAATAACCACACGGCTGCTTGCTGTCCCCGTCGAGGATCTTCATCTCACTGACACACCCATGTAAACAGTGACTGGGTCTCGTTGCGGCCGTCATGACCCTCAAGATCGCCAGGGGCCCCGTCGCACGTCCACTCGGCCAGCCGGTGATCCACAGACGCGCAGTACACGCCCAAAGTACCGGATTCCAGTACAGGCACCCGGCGCAAGGGGGCGAGCCCCTTAAGTACGACATGCGGGGCGCCACCCTGTCCCCCGACCCTTTCAGCAATCTGCCCCCACTGGATACGGCAGCCTGTGACCAACCAACGTCGGCCCCGCGGGCCCAGGCGAGAACCAATGGCCATCAGTACTTTGGTACGTGCCTGATGCGCCGCTGCCCTTTCCCTGCAGGTGGGCGCCTGCCTCCGAGACCGTCCTGTGGCCTTCCCAGTTTGCTCCAGTCGGACGGACGCCCCCGTCAAAAGATTCGGCCCGCTGGGGCGCTGCTGATCGGCTGTCGACGTAGCAGGATCCGCAGAAATAGCGACGTCGGTGGCGGTCTTGCCCGGGGAAGGGGAACGCGCACCTTGGCCCGGGGCCCACTCACTCAGCCTCTTTTTTCCCCCCCCCCCCCCCTCCCCAACCCTCCACCTCCCCCCGGTGCCTGCCTCTGCGCAGATTGCCCCGCGCGCCGATCTCAGGGCGTCATTCCGAGGGGAAGATTGCGCGGACATGGCGGGGGCCGTCGGCCTGGGTTGCAGCGGATGGGCCGGTCGGCCGATCTGCCCGGTGAGGAACTCGGCAGCCGAGCGGCGCGATCTCTGGCGGCCGCGCGAAGCGCCTTGGAATCAATTTC